AATTGATAGAGATCTCATCGTTATCGATCTCGTCAGAACCTAGAGATTCGGCGTCCCGAACCTCTTCTGGTGGTTCATTAGAGTGAGTCTCAGCACGCGCTATGTCTGTTATATTGGGAATCCCAGTTTCAACTATTGCACCTTTCTTTGATTTCCGTGGATTCTTGTCTTTGGAACCTAGAGGTCTGCCACGTTTATTTCGTGATGCAGACTCTGTAGCAACTTGAACTTGTCCCGTTGGAACAGTGATTCGTACTGGTGCATTACAAGCTGGTATGTACGATTTGGTTACTTTGTTCGGGTCAGCAAAGGAATCTGGCAATTGATTAGCTAGCTTTTGATAGTGTATAATCTTTTGGATCTCCGAATCACATTCTAGAGTCCGAGGATCTTGCCAATTTAAGGATGTTTGATTCCATGATAGCTCTTTGACCAGCTTGTGTTTCTCTCCACCCAATGTTGGATATACCGATTCATCAAATTGGCAATCCGCATATCTGGCCTTAAATAGGTCTCCAGTGGTCGGCTCGAGATATTTGATGATGGTGGGAGAATCAAAACCAACATATATTCCCATCCTCCTTTGAGGTCCCATTTTGGTTCTATGTGGTGGAGCAATGGGTACATAGACTGAGCACCCAAATGTTTTGAGATGGGAGATGTCTGGCTCATGACCCTGTAATAATTGGGATGGGGAATATCTATGCTCACTAGATGGTCGGATGCGTATTAGTTCAGCAGCATGTAATACTGCATGTCCCCAAGCTGAGACCGGGAGTTTCGACCTCATGAGTAATGGTCGAGCAATCCATTGGATTCGTTTAATGAATGATTCAGCAAGTCCATTCTGAGTATGGACATGTGCCATAGGATGTTCAATGGTTACCCCCATGGCCATACAGTAATCATTAAACGCTTGGGAAGTGAATTCACCAGCATTATCAAGACGTATAGTCTTTAGTGGGAAGTCTGGAAAGTGGGCTCGTAATCTGATGATTTGAGCCAACAACCTAGCAAAAGCTTGGTTCCGAGAAGACAACAGGCATACATACGACCAACGGGTCGAAGCATCTATTAGTACCATGAAGTACCGGAATGTCCCAGAAGGTGGGTGAATGGGACCACAAATATCTCCTTGGATTCTTTCCAGAAAATGCAATGTCTCTTTGGACACTTTTACTGGTGAAGGCCGAGTGATCAACTTCCCTTGGGAGCAAGCTGTGCACATGAGGTGCTGAGAGAAGACTCGGTTTTCTCGAAGGGTGTGTCCTTGAGAACTTTGGATTAATTTACGCATCATGGTTGTACCGGGATGACCAAGCCGGTCGTGCCAAATAGTGTAGTCTTGGAACCGGGCTTTGAGAGCATTATTAGCCTCAATCATACTGACCTTGGCATAGTAAAGGCCAGTAGATAAAGCAGGTATAGTCTCGAGGACTTGTTTATGGCCAAGTGTGATCTTAGTGATCAGTAGGGATTCTTTATTCCCTTCACCCTGGGTTTCTATGTGGAAACCATTAAGTCTGATATCTTTAAAACTTAAAAGGTTTCTTTTTGAGTTGGGTGAGTATAATGCATCTGGAATGTCCAGATGTGTGCCGTTTGATAACAACACATGTTCAGATGATAGAATCAATCGAGGAGATCTGAGATCTCGTAGTCCATGGGATCGGTCGGCTCGATGGTGGTGTCGTTAGCATCAACTTGCAGGGCCATGTTAGCTTCAGCAGGTACTTTCCCATGTTTCTGATACAAATCGCAATGAAACTTGGGAGTACGACAGTTCTTTGTCCAGTGATTGAACATTCCGCATCTGGTACAGGCAGACTGATTGGTTGGGTGGGCAGGGCGGTTTGGTTTAGAGATACCACGGCCTTTACCGGAACCATAACTGAGGTTATGTCGGTTGCCACGTCCGTTTCCGCGTCCACGCTTTCCACGTCCATTCCCATGTCCACGGCCACGATTCTTTGCGGGAATCTGGTACTGGAGCCGATCCCGGGGGCCTCTGGGCACTGTTCCTCATTAACAGCTCGTTGTTTTTCTCAGCCAAGAGCAAACAAGATAACAAATCTTCGTACAATGTATGTTTCATTGCACGATATTGCTGCTGAAGCACAATGTTTTGGGTATGGAAGGTGGATAATGTTTTCTCGAGGAGATCATTATCAGACACCTCTTCACCACATAGTTTCATGATTGAAACTATCCGAAAGAGTTCGGAGTTGTAGTCATCCACAGATTTGTAATCTTGGAACCGGAGTTCCTTCCTGTCAAACTTGGCTTGTGGTAAGAGCACCGTTTTCTGGTGATCATACCGTTTTTTCAGGGCCACCCAAAGTTCGAGTGGGTTCTCAAGAGTGAGATATTGTTGTTTGAGGCTCGCGGCCAAATGATGGCGGATATGAAATATCGCCTGGGACCGGTCTTTATCAGAGGCTTTGTTATCCGCTTGGATACACGCACCCAGTCCCTTTGAGTTGAGGAAAATCCTGGTGTCCAGGGCCCATTTGAGATAGTTTTCACCGGAGACCTTGAGGGCCTCGAACATGAAATTGATTTCATTAGGGGTTTGTTAAAATAATAGTTGGAAAACTTTCTATTTTAGGCAAGTTTCTATTTGAGCAAACTTTATATTTAAGGAATGTTTCTAAATTGGGGAACTTTCTAAATGAGGAAAATTTCTATTTTGAGGAAACTTTCTATTTGAGGAAACTTTATATTTGAGGAAAGTTTCTAATTTGGGAAACTTTCTAAATGAGGAAAGTTTTCATTCCGGGTCATTTGCTATTTGAGGAAAGTTTCTATTTTAGGAAACCTTCTAAATGAGGAAAGTTTCTATTTGAGGGAAACTTTCTAAATGAGGAAAGTTTCTATTTGAGGAAAACTTTCTAAATGAGGAAAGTTTCTATTTGAGGAAACCTTCTAAATGAGGAAAGTTTCTAATTTGGGAAACTTTCTAAATGAGGAAAGTTTTCATTCCGGGTCATTTGCTATTTGAAGAAAGTTTCTATTTTAGGAAACCTTCTAAATGAGGAAAGTTTCTATTTTGGGTCATTTGTTATTTGAGGAAGGTTTCTATTGTAGGAAACTTTCTCGGGAATCGTAAATTTTAAGGATACGGAACATAAGTTCGGTTTAATGGTTTAAAGTTGGACCGGAATATTAGATTCCGGTTTGGGCCGAATTGATTTCCGGTTTAGAATAACCAGTTTGAACCGGTTTACCCAGATTGAGATCCGGTTATTATTTTGGAACCGGTTTGATAATCGGTTTAACCGATGAACCGAATTGATATTCGGGTTTAGGAGTTAACCGAGAATGATTTCCGGTTTAGGGGATACACGAAAATTGCGGTTTTGGATTTGATTTGATTTAGGTTTTAAGATTTCGGCCATGGCTTAGTGTTTTCGATTTTGAGTGTTAGGTTTAAGTAATACAAGGTTTTTGATCTTTAAGCTTTTAAGGTTTTGTTTTTACCTTTCACCAATTGGGGTTGAACGAATTGAACCGGGAGCTTAAGACCTCGGTAACTCACGCTGTCGATGAACAGTACCGATGAACAGTGTAGATGAACAGTGTCGATGAACAGTATCGGCGTGAACAGTATCGGCGAACAGTGTCGATGAACAGTATCGATGAACAGTGTCGGCGAACAGTGTCGATGAACAGTATCGGTGAACAGTATCGATGAACAGTATCGATGAACAGTGTCGGCGTGAACAGTGTTTTGCGATTTTTAGGGTTAGGGTTGTTAAGAGCAAACTCGTGCTGATAACGTGTTGTGAAACTTATTGTTATCTCATTCATTCCATGAATAATGATACATATATATAGGCATATAAACCTAGGGTTTTAGAGTACATAATGAATAACCATGATGGGCTTATTGGGCCCGGTTATAAGTCCAATATGATGTATTATAACATTCTTCAATTATTTTTATTTTGCTGATCTTTTTTCATCTAATTGTCAATTTTTTAAAATTTTATCTTTTGTTAATCGTTTCCAAAAAAAAAAAAAAAAAAAAATATATCTTTTGTTAATCAAAAATAATTATATGCATAGAACATTTAAATAATGTATAAATATTGAATATTATATAAACAAAATTTATAGATATAAAAAAAAGATATTGTGTCCCACTCCTACATAAAATAATCTTTTGGATCTGCCCCTCTAAGTGAAGTACGTGAAGATTCCCATACAAGTTACTCTTAAGCCGGGGATAGGGTCTTTTTCAACCCGAACAATTTTCAAAGTACGTTTTCCAATACGAACAAACGATTAGTATTGATTTATACCCTAACGCTTAAAAATATCAAATTACATACCCCAACTATTATTTTAGTGCATAATTACGAGTCAACGTTAACGAAAATTAGTCAACCGTAACGGTTGCTGAATTAGATAACACGTATTGGTCGAGGTGGCATTTTCTTTAAACAAAACAATGTTATTTTGCATTTGGGATTCAATTTTTTTAAAAAAATACAAAACCATAGACTCGAACACGCAACCTCGGCTGATTCAATGAGACTAAGATGAGGTCACGTGTTCGATTCTCTGGTTTTGCATTTTTTGAAAAAAATTGAATCCCTAAACGTAAAACTACGTCGTTTTGTTTAAAGAACATGTCACCTCGACATACATGTGTCATCTAATTCAGCAACTGTTACAGTTGACTAATTTCTGTTAACGTTAACTCGTAATTACACACTAATAAGAATTAAGATGGGTAATTTAAATTTTTTAAGCGTTGGAGTATAAATCTGATCATTTGTTCGGGTTGAAAAACGCACTTTGAAAAATACCCTTTTCCCCTCTTAAGCGTCATAAGTTTGCTTCCTGGTTACGAGCTTTAAACCCTAAACGAAGAAGGGATGGTACCACAAAGTCAATGCAAAGCCCAAACCGAAATGCTCTAATCTATTCAAATACATTTGTGACCTTATGATTCCTACGGATCAAAATTCTGTCACAAAGTTAGGCCCAACTTATTTCGTTAAAATTTAAAATATTCATATATCCTCAAAAGAGTGACCCAAAATAGATATCAAACGTGAACAAAACAGAGGACAAACTTTGTGTTTTTAACTTTCTAGCGAGAGATACTCTGTTTTTTTCTCTCAAGCAAAAACAGAGCTACAAGATAATAACAGTAGACACAAAGCAGCTTGTTCTTCCTCCTTTAGACTCCTTCGTTTCTTCACAGCCACGCCACCATGTGATGATAATGATGATGATTTTGGTTTTATCTTCTTGGAAGCTAAGCCTTGGTGGCTGTGAATAATACAAATACCCAATAATTCTGATCGTCTCTGTTTCCTAAATCTAATCCCACATGCATTGCAAAGTGACTGCAAATCCCACCACAAATCAAAAATAAACAGCTTATGAACACTTGTTGAATCATCTTAAGATCAAACAAAGTTATTGACATAGTAATTGGAGGTAGAAGAAGAGACCTTGGGACCAGTTGGTCCACCTCTCCACATTGGTGTCTTGGTGGTCTTGCAATCACTGCAACACCTAACTGTCTCCTTCTCTTCTTCCATTCTCGTTGACATGTAAGAAGATGAACAAGATAGTAGCTTTCTTGAATCCATCAAATCAAAAGTAATTTGAGCTCTTCTTTGATACAACGATTGTGATCAAGAACTCTTCGAATTTTCTTGATAACTCTTTCTATGGCAATAATGCTTCTGTTTTTTTGTAGTATACAAGTAATCAAGAAAGGCTTAAGAGCTCCTTAAAAAAGCCTCCCAAACCAAGGTGAGTGTGGTAAGAAGACGAAACTATCCTCGGCCGCTCTTTTGATGAACAATGATTATGACATTTTTGGTAGATGGATGACACAAAACAAAACATCTCCCAAATCATTGTCGGGTGGAAAGCCAAGTGGCAGTACGCACGACCGGGATCTATGGAATTTCTTTATAATAATGACGAGTGTGTGTGTATATTAGACAAAAGAAAGTAAAAAGAAACCACATATTTGTGCAAACTTGTTCACATGAAGACAGAGAAAAAGGAATGAAGAGAAAGCCACCAATGTTTTCACTAACTCATAGACTTTTTTGTGATAAGGAAGCCACTAGTCTTCTTCCCAAATCAATTCAAGGAAAAGCAAAAGTACAACATTATTTAACGTGAAAAGCATTATAGAATAAAGTTATATAAATTTTCTTGGCATAGCCAAAATGATTATATATGGTTCTACACTTTGCTGGATGATTCTCTCGAACCATTCTTAAGTTACATATCTATAAGTCGCAATACTGCTATACGTTGGAAATCTGAACAAATAACGATGTCCTGTGGTAAACCATTTTGATCAGGGCATCTACAACAGTAGAATTTAAGATGATTATCTCAAATTAATATTTATATATAGTTTTATTTTTCATTAAAAAGATATGGTCTACGCAAAGATTATTCCTGTAACATATCACTTTGCAGCACAAGAACATCAATAGAGTTAGATGTTAAAAAAAAAAAAGGAACAACCAATAGCCGAGTTAAATTATTAAAAAGTTATGGTTACACTATAATAATCTATCAAAAGAAAAAGAAAAAACATATATACATAGCTTTCGTGTCCCACAAGAAACCTCTGAATCTTCTATGGCATATAAAAAGGTTACAAACCCTGTGCCACAGCTATATTGATTCAAGGGAAAAAACTTCAAATATAAAAATGTAAATTGATTTGGTTATATATGGCCCTTAAAAAAAATAAAAATAAAAATTAACAAACATGATATACACAAACACTAATCCCCGTAACTCAATGGCCGGGATCCATTTATCTAGCCCTAATCACAAATATATACAAATTTTCGTGCAATGCAAGAAACCGCTGAATTTAATACGGTAGGCAAGAAATCTTACAAGCCTTCCCTCGGGTTTCTGGCAGTTGTGTGTCTCCGGACTTCCTTAAAAGCTGCCCTGACCTTGAAAGCTGCCTTAACCTTACACCACCTGGCTCTTGGAGATCCCAAATTAACGTTTGTAAGATGAACATCGAACATACCAGTTTCTTCCGTCCCAGTCACGGTAAGATACATCGTTTCAACGGCTTCGTGCGTACCAGGTGACCAGTTTGTGGTCATGTCATAATGTTGATGATAAGCAAAAGCGTTCTCATCCTCCTCATTCTCGATACAACCTCTTGTCACTACAGTTTGTGATTTTCCGGGTACTGGATCGAGTTCACTTACTTTGAAGCTGTTTCCGAAAGTCGGTAAGAACTTTTTGTTGATATGAAAAGTCGGGGTTGGTGAGTTATCGAAACTCATCAACACATCAGGGTGGACCGTTGAGCTTGCAGCTGCGTGGCAAAGCGACATTGAAGAGCTTGATGGATCCAAACTTCCTAAATATTCGAAAAAAAAGAACAACAAAAAATTATAAAATTAGTCTATAGTAAGATATAGATATATCAAAAGACTTAACACCATGACCGTTTTAAATTGTATACCTTGAAAGGCGATGTGCTGCAATCCAGAACATGTTATGCCAAATCCAGGATCTTGCGGGCACTGTAAGGACCTTTGCGGATGACCCATAAAGGTCCCATCGTTAACCGCTGTAATGCGGTTAAGGTTTTGATAAGCTTCAAACTTTAGTTGGTTTAGAATTGGCTGATCGAGGTTTTGGATATCGTCGCCATTGAATGACACTTTTATCAACTCATAAACAGAGTTGAAGAGAAGAGTTACTCCCGGAGTGTTTGCATCGTAAGTGTAACACTCTGTTTCGTCCAAAACGCAATCCATGGCGTGTGATACAATTGTATTCCATGTTTTCTTTGAGATCCCTACACCAATTATCTGTTAAATAAAAAAGAAACAATTTTGTGAATGGTTAGAAGATTATAGACATCAAGATTCATTTCACCTATTTTAGGTATATATATAATAATCTTACGTTGTGTAGCTCATTTGGATTTACAGTATACAAACGGCGAAACTCCTTGACGGTATAAATCTCGCGTTCAGCCAAACGCTTTGCCGAAACGCCATCTTTCGCGATTTTCTCTAGTCTCCAAACGTCATCATTGGGGTACGGGGGATGATGTTTTCTATAAGCTGCATAAGCAACAAAAATAAACAAACGGATTAATAATTCACCCTAAACGTTTTAACAGCGATTGCAACAGCTGACCAGACATAGTAACCGCTACTTACATTCTCCTCGTTGGTCTAAACATCCAAAGGCTTCACTTCTCGCCTCCACGGCTCCATCTCCGGTCAACTTAGCACCTAACCGGAACTTCCGACTCCTAGTCCAGCTCGAATTATCCGAGAAAGCGATATCTCCGGCGATAACTCCAACACCATTTTTAAGCGTCAACGTTAGATCTCCAGTGAGCAACGGTCGTTTCCCTTCACGTTGCTTGAGAATATTCCGCTTAAATCCCTCCACGGTCCAGCTTTCTTCCGTGAAATCAGCGTTCAGAGGCACGAGCTCGACCCGAGAAGACGAGAACGGTCCCGAACTAACTCGAGTGTTTGTAGGGGCGTCCACGAGCTCGATCATCAGCGGAGAACCGCCCTCGGCTTCGATCTTGGACCCCGTGAATATTGATGGCGGCGGCGAGTTTATGAATCGCAGCTTCAATCGTGGACGCGATGATGGCGTTTCTGAACGCGATCGCTCCATTGAGACACATGATGAAGAGTAAAAAGTTTGAAGAACACGATGTGTCTCCTCTCCGACCTAAACCAAAAGAGTTGAGAAAATCATTAACTAATTTGCATATAACAACGAATATAATTAAGCATATGGTTGGTAACATAAACCGCTAACAAAAATATAGTAGTAACTAGTAAGACATAGCCACATACGATTTCTATAATTTTTCTCGTAACCGTTAAAATGGTATAATTCTGTAGCGTTACACAAAAAAACATTACTAATCAAACCCATAAAAAACGTATGTGATTTCATGGTTTCGTCATATGTTTATAATTTTTTTTTTTTTTTACTTCCTTCTGGTTGTTTATAATTTGGTACTATAATTACGAGACTTGTGACTATTTTGTTATACTAGATAGAGTTACTAGACTTTGGGACCATTGTTGATCGAGGAACCCACAAATTTAAAATAAGACAGAAGAGAAGTAGTCGGTCAAACTTGGTGGCTGTATGAACATGTTAATTAAAATAATCCGTGATTAATTAAGATATTTAATTATGTGGTTTAAGCAGAGTAAGTTGTTAATTAAAAACGATTGGAAAAAAAAAAGACTCACAATTCTTCTTATCATGTTCTCCATCTGAATCATGAATTGATTATATGACTGGTCTCTCATCACTTGCTTCACAACTCTGTGGTTAAATGAGAAAATGAAACTAGAAAATTAGAAACCTTGTCCAAAAATCAACCGGAAAAAACAAGGATTTGTTCGGAAAGATCAAGAACTCACTTCTTGAATGTTAAGTTACGAGCTCTCAAGCCACTGTAACCACCCCCATGATAAGTAGGACTGTTTCGAATCTTCATTGATCACTTTTAGTTTTAGAGATTTTCTTAAAAAAGATTTAAAACCTTGAAAGATTTATGTTATCTTAAAAGAAAAAACACTGTGTGTGAGAGAGAGATAGAGAGAGAGAGTGAATAATGGAAATATAAAGGCATTGAGTATTTGACGAAGCAGCACTTGAAATTTCCAGGAAGATTCGTTACTCGGAGTTTAGAAGTGCTATTCATCAACCACGCTAGAGTTAGTTATTTAGTTTTCTTTTTAGTTAATTAATTAAAATTAAAAACAAAGACACTTGTGTTTCTGACAAAAAAAGTAATAAGACAATCGTTATTTAATTGCTGTTTGGATCATTTCGTACAAACTAAAATAACTTGTAATAATATAGTAGAATATATACTCTGATCCGGCTAAACCTCTACATGTATTTTAATCAGCGTCCTCTCATAGTGGAGAGATTAAATAATTTCAGTGTATCCATTTTTTGTTTTTGTAACTTAAAAGAGTTATACTAAAACTGGTTCTGGTCATGATTGGTAACATGTTGTGATATTGGGTGTACGAGTAACACTATTCTCAGTTTTTCTATATATCCAAGACACCATTTTTTTGCGTATTATTTTTATTTTTTTATTTTTATGATTAATTTACATTTTTCGAAAATAGAGGATAAAATTGCAAATTAAAAAAAGGACCTGAAGGAAAAGCTTTACTTTTTTTTTATTTTTTTTTTTTTTTGTCATCTGAAATTAAATAGAGCTCAAACTTTTTTTTTTTTTTTTTTTATCGATTTTAGTTAATTTGATATATCATTTTTTTTGCTGAAAAACACGTACCATTTTATATCATCAATGAAATCTATTTTCTATATCATCAATGAGATTATATGAGACTAGGACATGCAAAAGTCTAGTAATTTCTATTAACTGCATGTGTTGCCACTTTGATTTAAATCCGATGGAATACATATTATGGAACAAAATGAATGAAAGATCACCCAAATTTCAAACAAGAACGAGGTTTGCAAATGAATCAGCATTCAGCAAACCTTTTTTTCTTCATAAGAATAGATTAAAATATAAAGTTGCGAAAGAAATGTCTCGCACGTACTATAAAGTTAAACAATTTTTTGGAGATTTCTTAAATGATTTCTTTGATCTTTGATTTTGTAAACGCTCACTTGTTCAAGAATTGCATCGTAATTAAGTGTTACAATCTACGCGTTTTAGAATTATTACTCAAAACGCTTT